GGAAAGACCACTCCAGGTTCAGGGCTGAGGAGGCTGGCTACAACACTGATACTCAACTTTTTTCACAAATACCCTTAATGGTTCCCTACTCTTCTTGGAGAATTCAGTTGACTAGAATTACCGCTTTTCATTTTGGTGTTCCTTTTCAGCAGCTTTTAAAAGACACATTCCCAAAATAAAGCAGAGTCTAAATATTGTTTAATATTGGGATGGAGAATCATGTGCCATTTCCATGGTAACAAGATATTCTGGGTTTGCTAGGTTTTTCTGGTGAATTGATATGAGATCACTTGGGGCTGCAATCCTATGCATATCAAGTAGGAATAGATACCATTGAACTCAAGGCTGACTTTTGTGACTAGACATGGTTAAGGTTTGGCAGATAGGGTAATAAACTTGAAGTCTGATTTATCTTGAACAGGTCACCCAATGGAATAAAATAACTTTATGACTTTTTATTGTATAATATACATAAGCTGGGAAGACTTTACCTGTGTCAAATATTCCCTCTAAGCTGTGGAGTCTTGTGAGCAAAAATTCTACTTTGTGAGCTACTGGCATTAAAGTTGTGAGTGAGTGATTTGGCTGCTGCATAAATTAGCTTGCTCTGGAGCCATCCTTCCTGAGCTAAGACAAAAATGTGTGAGCCAGAGGCTAAAAAACTGTGAGCTAGCTCACACTAACTCAGCTTATAGGGAACACTGCCTGTGTCTATAGGCAAGTTACTCTCAGGCTCCTGAAGTTCAAAAGAAATGTAAAAAGATGCCCTGCCTTGTGCCTCTTGCATCTTGGTCAGATACCATTACTTAACCATTCCGGTCGTAGACCAAAAGTGGCCTAAGTGCCTTCTGTTTTGTGATTTCTTAGCTGCCATGCCTTGATGTTCTCCGCTTTCACTGACTCCCATGGATGAACTAATAAGACAGCAGTAGATAATGTGTGAGTTATGGAAATAGGCAAATACACACTTCAGTATTTGGTGAGGTTATGGTACAAAGATCATGCATATCCTTGTTGACCTTAACATCGTTTGCAAAGCCAATTGTGCTGTGGTCATTGCAAGGAATTTTAGAGGAAATGTAGAATAGATGTTTGTGAAAGCTGGGAACACATGCAAAAAATTGAAGTATCTACTAAATATGTTTATCAGTTGCCATTAAGCTAATGTGCAGATATTCCACGAAGAAATAGCTGCTGGCAGCAAGATAAAAAGCTGGGAAGGTGGCAGAAAGGAATAATCAAGGCTGCAATGAGTAGGGTACCTTGGGTTTGCTACGAACAGGCACAGGGGTTGCACAACTGTTTCATGTTTCATAGTCAGCTACATGAAATCCATGTTCAAATAGCGTGCACTCATTGTCACAGAATTTTTTAGATTGCAGGTTCTTCTGGGGAGGGATCCTTCTGCTTTATTTGTTACTGTTTAAGTATGTTAATGATGCTGTAGAAATAATTTAAAAAATGAAGGCTGTAAGGAATAATGGGGTCAGGTGGGAACTTTTCCCAGATTTAAATCCCCCCTTCCACAATGTTATAAGTGACTTGCGCAGACCAACTTCTCAATTTCCCGTTTTCTTGGGTTTTCTCTTTAACAGACACTTAACTGCCTCAGAATCCCCTGTTTACAGAACAGTAGTGAGCATCCACAGGCCGTGGATGTCTCCCTCTTTTTAATGTACAAAGTCATGTTTTTTCCTACATACTTGGGGAGTCCACCTAGTATACCAAAATTCCTAACTTATCTATAAATGACCCTGCTCAGTAGACACATGATAATGCAGCTTGGCATTGGAGGAAGTGATGATACCAGGTATATTCTGAATTTCCAGAAGTGTTTGCTTCCCTGTTTATTTTCCCTTTTCTGTTTCTTTTTTAGATTTGGTCTGGAGAATAGTCTGAATATATTAGGCTCATTTCTGAAACTAGGTTCATTTCTGTCTGTCTGAGCCTGAGCAGTGCCTCACCGTAAATTTATGAACCATATTTAAGCTGAGGAACAGAAGGACATCTTATATATATAATTCTCCTAACATATTGGCCATTTCCAGCTCTCCCATTGGCTGTGCTGTGCACTCCATCAGCCATTGGCCCATCAACCGCCACTCAAGAGTAATCATGTGCCATTGGCTTGGGGCTGGGTCCGCTCCTCTTCCCCGCCCACTGCTGCCTCAGCCACTGTTCGCTGTCAGAATAACTGCCAAAACAGCTGTCTCTCCTGACAAAGACACTTCTCCTTGGCTCCTGTGGGAATTTCCCTCACTGGCTGTTTCTAGTCAACCAAGCTTTGTTTTGTCAGTAAAAAGGCAAAACCAGAAGGCCCTTAACAGGCCTTTGTGGGGAACTTATTGGGGCCAGTCCTGACTAGGGTTGCCAGCTCCAGGTTGGGAAATTTCTGTATATTTTGTGGTGGAGTCTACAGAAGCCAGGGTTGGGGGAGGGAAGAGGCCTCAGATGAATAGAATGCCATAGAGTCCACCCTCCAAAGCAGTTATTTTTTCCGGGGGGGGGGGGGAACAAGAGATCTGTTGTCTGGAGTTCAGTGGCGATACCACAGCCAGTGTGGCATAGCAGTTAGCACTTCAGAGCAGGGTCTGCCAGACCCAGGTTCTTGCTGTGGAAGCTGAGTGAATGATTTCAGACCAGTCAGACTTTCAGCCTAAACTACCTCACTGGGTTGCTGTGCAGTTCAAAAGGGGGAAGGAGAATGATGTAAGCTGCTTTAGTCCCCACTATGGAGAAAGACTGCACTTTTCCTCGTGGGGAAACATTGTTGCCAATCTCCAAGTGAGGGCTGGAAATCACTCAGAATTACAGCTGCTCTCCAGGAGGGAGTGGAGAGGAGATGGAAAGTTGAAGTCAGAGGGGCAGATAATGGTAGGTTGATGATTGGCTGGGAAGGAAATAGGGTTGCTGCCTCCAGGTTGGGAAATTCCTGGAGATTTGAGGGGTGGAGCCTGGAGAGGGTGGGGTTTGAGGAGGGGTGGGACCTCAAACAGGTACAATGCCATAGGCTCCACCCTCCAAACAGCCATTTCCTCCTGGGGAACAACTGCTGCCAATCTCCAGGTGAGGGCTGGAGATCACTCAGAATTACAGCTGCTCTTCAGGTGGCAGAGATCAGTTCCCCTGGAGAAAACAGTGGACTCTGTGTCATTATATGCTGCTGAGGTCACCACAGCAAATAGACACTGAGTGCCCAAGGCCAGGGCACCAACCCAGAGCCTCTTTCTAGAGCTTGTTGTATTTATTTCCCCAACAGGCCTTATTCCTAGTAAATGTATAAAACTACTGTGACTGACTATAATTAGTTGAAATATACATGTGCAAAATGGTATTAATGAGAAAAGGCATCACCTATAAAAATGTATTCTTTCACCCAGCTGGTGAAACCGCAGCCTTCCTCTCTATCTGGTCGCCCAAAGGTAAATGATGGTTTAAATGCCAAATCAGTGACTTGGGATGTCCCATTCACAGTTCGATTCATAGTCACAAAAAAATTGGGCTGATGAAACCTTAATCTTTGTTTCTGCTTGGTGCTTTGTACTGTGGCCTCTGGAGGATTCGGTACTGGTTAACTTGTCCACAGACATCACTTAGTTATAACACTGGATTTTCAGTTCAGTATTTGGACTGGATCTATTTATTGATAAATCACCATGTGCAATATGCTTTTCTCCCCAGTAGGGACTCAAACCACCTTACAACAATGTTCTTGCGCCCGTTTTATGCTCACAACCCCCACCCAGTGGTGTAGGTTAGGCTGTGAGAGATTGCCTGTCTCTTTTATGGTCACTAGCTTCCGTGGCAGAGTGCAAGTTCAAACCTGGGTCTTCCAGAGCCTAGTCCAAAACTCCAGTTAAGAGGATCAGGTAGTGTATGATGAAAAGACTGAAAGACCCGAGACCCTTGCTGCCATCTGGTCAGAGTAGACAGTACTGACCTTTGTAGGCAAATGGTCTAATTTAGCAGCTTCATGGGTTCCTGTAATTGAATGTGTGACATGAAAAGGCTTTGTTCACACATTCAAATCACTGTTTGCTGTATATGTAAAATAGCCCATGTCTTGTGAGCAATGTGTTGTAGATCAAGAAACGGTTTATGATGATTATTTTTCCGTGCAGAAATAAATCATTATTCATAGACTTGTTTTTCCTTTTTACCAGTGTATAACTTAGACTTAAGACATGGAACATATGCATTATGTGCCCTGAGGTCTAACCATTCTTTTAAAATTTCCCCTGCTCTAGGTAAAAAACAGTGGAGGAAGCCTCCCTTCTAAGACAGAGGAGCACCGCCTTGCAAAAACAGGCCAGCTTGCTCACCTAGATGTTAAGACTATTCCCAAAGGCAAAATCTCAGTAATTGAGGCCTTGACCCTTCTCAGTAATCATCATCATTCTCCAAATGAATGGACTGCAGAGACAATAGCAACTGAATACAGCCTAGAACTAAAGGATGTGACTGCCCTCTTAACATATTTCATCCCTTTTTCTGTGAAAATCTTTCCTCCTCAAGACAAAAAAGCCATACAACCTAGATAAAATGTCTGCCAAATTGTGATGGATGTGCAAACTGCTGTTTATCTTATCCCCCTTTCTCCATCCTAAAAAACTGAAGAAGTGTCTTATTTAAGTGGAGTCTGCAGTCACTTTTGTAACCCATTATGGCCATAACAGTATGACATAGGAGGCAAACCTTAGCAGAATCTGTGAGGAAGCCCAAAATGGCAGTTGTCTGAAAGTGATTTGTTACAAATCAAACAAGCAAACAAAATCATTATCTTTATGCCTGATCTTTGTCAGTTTTGTGTGCTGCACGAGCTCTTGCATTCTGTAAATACTTATAATTAAAGCAAAGCAGAGTTGCATTTTTCTTCTTCTAAGAAATCAGTGTGTGTGTGTTTTTAGTCCTTGTATCTGGTAAACAAGGGTGCCAAAGAACAAATGGGGAAAATTGAGTTAGGTTTGGCATTCTTTTACTTTGACATAATCAATGATGAGTTTAAAAAACAAAACTGGTATTGAAGTCAAATGCAGTTTTGCTCTGTTAATCTACTGGATGTAACCCTGGCTCTTTGACAGTAATTTCTGGCTTTTGTGTTTGGCTCAAGCCTACATCTATTTAGTTATTGGCAGCCTGCCCCATGAAGAACCAGTTTCGCGACTTTCTTGCTCAACTTTTCAATGAGGATCCTGTGTTTTATTCTGGACCAGAAATCTGTATCTGTCCAGATGGGACTTTTTGGTTCAGTACTGAAGTCTTGCAATGCTTATTTTGTTTGGCTATAAAGGATATTATACTTCACAAAAAAATGGCATAGAAATAACTACAAAGTCTCTTTCAGATGACCTCCTTAGGAAAAGACTCCTGAAAATTTAACAATTAGGAGAATATCAGATTATACAACTTGTCATGTAGAGGTAAAAAATGCTTCGCCTGTTAAAATTGTCTTCTACGGAAGACTTAAGAGTACATAAGCCTAGCCGTCCTACCCATCTGATCATTTTAGGGCTAATGGACACATGGCTACCCTAAAGACTAGATCATGCGTGCATCCATTCCCTCTCGAGGGGAGGAGGACACTCTGATACATTCGTGCTCCTCTTCCCACAATCCCTGGAGGCAGGACGTTGATTACACTTTCCATCTCCAGAGGGAAGAGGAGCCCACCCTCAGTCTTTTTCCTGCCTCTGCCTAAGACAGCAGTGGATTTAGAGAGCTCCTGAGATTCTCCTTTAAGAATCTCCTTTGGTTGCATTTTGTTTTTCTCTTTCCACCAGTGTGCCTTTCCCTTTGTTTAAACAAACAGACAAACTTTGTTGTTTTCTTCTGGCCTCCTCTTCCTTGAGGCTGTTTGCCTTTTGCCCGCTACTTCAGTCACAGCGATGTCTTCAGCTGAGGTCTCCAACCATGGGACCTCCTCCGAGGGAGAGCTGGGGGCGGTGATCCCCTGGCAGTGGAGTATGGAATCCCTGCAAACCCGCTTGCCCAGCTGTCCCATCGCAGCAGAGTCATTTTAGGGCTAATGGACACATGGCTACCCTAAAGACTAGATCATGCATGCATCCATTCCCTCTCGAGGGGAGGAGGACACTCTGATACATTCGTGCTCCTCTTCCCACAATCCCTGGAGGCAGGAAGAGGAGCCCACCCGCAGTCTTTTTCCTGCCTCTGCCTAAGACAGCAGTGGATTTAGAGAGCTCCTGAGATTCTCCTTTAAGAATCTCCTTTGGTTGCATTTTGTTTTTCTCTTTCCACCAGTGTGCCTTTCCCTTTGTTTAAACAAACAGACAAACTTTGTTGTTTTCTTCTGGCCTCCTCTTCCTTGAGGCTGTTTGCCTTTTGCCCGCTACTTCAGTCACAGCGATGTCTTCAGCTGAGGTCTCCAACCATGGGACCTCCTCCGAGGGAGAGCTGGGGGCGGTGATCCCCTGGCAGTGGAGTATGGAATCCCTGCAAACCCGCTTGCCCAGCTGTCCCATCGCAGCAGAGTTCCTGGAGAGAGCCATAGGCTGCAGATTGCCTGGCTTGGATCATGAAGAACCAGGCTCGATTTTGGTACCAACCAATGCCAAGACACCCAAATTCTTCTCGAGACACCAGTGTCAACAAGCAGAACAAGTGGATGCTCTGATGTCCCCTTGGCCATTGGGCCTTCTTTATGCCTTTCCTTCCATACCTTTGATTCCAAAGGCTCTGAACAAAATGAAACCGGAGAAGACAGAGTTGATTTGCCTGGCCCCATTCTGGCCCAGGAGACCTTGTTTCTTCAGCCTGCTAAAATAATAAGTTCAATCTTAATGGGAACTTCCAGTGTCACCCAGTATGCTAACCCAGGGTCCCATCTGTCATCCAGACCCTGCTTGGCTTTGTCTGACAGGATGGAGATTGTGTGGCAAGTACTGATCACACAGAGTTTCTCTGATCAGGTCATCCGGACCACGATGGCGGCCTGGAGAAGCTCCACTTCTAGAATTTACAACAATTCTTGGAAGGCTTTTGTCAGATGGTGCAAGATTAAACATCTGCAACCAGACACTCTGGAACTTCCTCAGGTATTGTCCTTCCTACAGGATGGAGTCTCTCAGGGTCTAAGAGCAAGCACTCTCCAGGCACCTAGCGGTGAAGAGATTTCTGAAGGAAGTTACGTTGTCTCAGCCTCCTACAGTGCACAGGTTTCCCTTTTGGAAACTTGATGTCATCCTTCAACTCTAACCAGTCCTCCATTTGAGCTTCTGAGGGAGGTTTCTCTGAAGTTCCTTACCCTGAAGGTACTCTTCCTGGTAGCTGTTACATCAGCAAGACAGTCCTCAGAGATAGGTGCTCTTTCCATCAGAAAGGGCTTATGCAGCTTCCATCAGGACATGGTGGTTCTGCACGCAGATCCCACTTTCATTCCCAAGGTTAACACACCTTTTCACAGCTCACAGGAGATATATTTGCTGTCCTTCCTGAAACCATCTCATCCTAGGGAGAAGAATTGGCACTCACTTGACCTTCACAGAGCCCTTCGCCTTTATAGCAGAAGGACCAAGCCATTTAGTAAATTGGATTACCTTTTTGTGGCTTTTCATCCAGCAGTCAAGGGGAAAAGGGTTTCTAAGGCTACACTAAGCAGGTGGCTAAAGGACTGCATCTCCTTGGCATATGAATCTCAGGGCCTTCAGGTCCCAGAGGGGATCACAGCTCATTCAGCAAGAAGTGCTTCTACATCAGCAGCACTTGACACAAATGCATCTGTTGCAGATATCTGCAAGGCTGCTACCTGAGCCTTGATGTCAACATGTATCAGGCACTACAAGATGGACTCTATTGCCATGGCTGATTCAGCATTCGGGCAGAGAGCCCTACACAAGTGGTTTAGTCCTGCTGTTATCTCTATGCTTGGCAGTCACTTTTCCCTCCCTGGGTCAGATGAGCTTTGTAACATCCTAAGCGTATCAGAGTGTCCTCCTCCCCTCAAGAGAGAACGGAGCATTGGACTTACCGTGAAGGTTCCTTCTTCTCGAGGGCGAGGAGGACACTCTGGACCCACCCTATTACACTTCCTAAAGGGGGACTGACTGTCAGTCCCCATGTTCATTGTTCTTTCAGTGTTCGAACAGTTTGCCTGTATGGTTTGTTTCATAGGGTTCTGTAAGCCTTGTTGTCTGTTTGTTTGGTACACATTGTGGGCTGTTACCAGCTGCAAAAGTCTCCAAACTGAGGGTGGGCGCCTCCTTCTCCCAGATATGGAATGTGCAATCAATTTCCTGCCTCCAGGGATTGTGGGAAGAGGAACCCAAGCGTATCAGAGTGTCCTCCTCATTCTCAAGAAAAAGGAACCATTATGGTAAGCTCTGTGTTCTGTTTCTTGGGAGTGCAGGGGCACAATTTGAATCAGGACCACAGTACAGGAGGAGAGGAAGTTTAAACCTTCCCCTTCCCAGCACACATGGACGCACATCTGGTGGAAGTTCACTTGTTCACTACTTGGATTTTGTGACTTGTGAATCAGCTCTTTATCTTGTGATCACTGGACATGGTGATTGTAAATGGATAGACATTATAGTGCATATATATGTGAAAGAAATAGGTCTGTTGCATAGAAGGCTAGTTCATAAAAATGTAGCAGTAAATCTGAACTTGGTTTTTGTTTATCACTATAAGGAAAATATGCTGTAGAACTGACAATAAAATATAGGCCAGTTTATGCAAATAGGATCAGTATTGTAATATATTCAGACATTTCCCGTGTACAGTTAGGCACACACATTCTCTGTGTGTATGTGGTCCCCTGTCTTTGAATGTTGGCAAAACTGTCCTCAGAAACCCACTGTGCAGAAACTTCCTTTTGTCCCCAGCCTTTCACCCTATTCTCAACTGTGGTGCTGTTGGTTTGGATTTTAACACTAGTTGAAGAAAAATATCCATGGAGCAATCCCAGATCCAGAAACCCTAAAAATACCAGCTCAGTGACCCAAGCCATTGATGATGAGCTACCAAAGAACATAAAAGCACAAGAACATCCTAGTGTATCAGACCAGTGGTCCATATGCTCCAGCATCCCGTTTCACACAGCAGCCAAAAGAGTTGCCCTGGAGGCCCAACAAATGTAATAAAGGCCAAGTCCTTCCCCTGATGCTTTCTGCTAGCATTGGTGTTCAGAGGTTTGCTGGTTCTGTACATGGAAGTTCCCTTTATTCACCATGGGTAGTAGCCGTTGATGTACCTCTGTTCCATGAATCTGTCTGGCTGCCTCTTAAAGACATGTGTTTGTGGCTGTCAGTGAACCCAGTTTAATTACTGAGTAAAGAAGTACTTCCATTTGTTTGACATGTACTTTTGGCCCATCAAGTTCTGGGGTACTCCTGAGTTCTAGTACTTTGGGAGAGGGAGGAAAGCTTTCCGCTTTCTCCATCTAGTGCATACTTTTGTAAACTTCTAAAACATCCTTCCTTGGTTGCCGTTTTTTTCTAAACTGAAAATTCCCAAGCTTTTTGACCTTTCTTCATAGGAAAGCTGTTCCAGCACCCTAATCATTTTGATTGCCATCTCCAGTGAAATGGAATAACAACAACAATAATAGTATACAAAGAACCCAGATGGAACTGAACGCGGAAATGAGGTTTATTAAACAATCACATCTATGTCATCAAAGTGTAGGAATTACCAGATCTGTCTAAAAGATTTATTCCAAGCACCCACTGTATGAGAAAATTATCCCACTCAGACAAAAATAGATAAAATAAGCTACCAGTCCTGAAATCCAGTGAAGAATTTAAAACCGGTGAGGAAGATTCAAGTGGGGTGGTGGTGGTGGTTTATGTAGCAT